TTTTTATATTATTTAATAATTTAAATTATCTTTATTTATTAGTTCTACGAAAATAAATTTCTATATAATATAGAAAATGTTTGTTGAAATAGAGAAAGAATTTTCTTTTTTCTATCTAGGTAGTAGTTTTTTTATTTATAAGAATTAATTGATTATGTAGACGATCAATATAAGGGAGAGAAAGAAAAAAAGAAAGAATAAATAAATAAGGTAAATATTTCTTTTTTTATATTAACGTTGTTTTGCCTGTAGTTGTCGTTGGATACTCAATTTATTTGTCGTCTCTTATCTCATATAACAAATCTTATTTGCGTGACATACAGAAAAAAAAAGGTAGACGAAGAGAAAAAAAAACACTTTGTTTAACGGCTTTTTTTTTCTATAAGATAAAGTTGAAAAAATCTACATGACAACAAAAAAAATTCTGTTCGTATTGACATCTCATGATAAATTACTTAATGGTCATCCAACAGGATGGTATTTACCAGAAGTATGTTGAATATAATTTAATTAATATAATATAATAAATATAAATATAGGCTGCTCATCCATATTATGTATTAGAAGCTCATTTTACAATTGAATGGGCAAGTCCAAAAGGAGGAAAAGCTCCATTAGATCCATCATCTATTGAAAATTTTAAAAATGATAATCAATGTAAACAATTTTTATCTGATACAAAAGCAAAACAAGGTTATGAAAATACAAAAACATTAAATGAAATAAATGTTAATGATTATGCTGCTTTAGTTTATGTTGGTGGTCATGGACCTTGTTTTGATTTACCTGAAGATAAAACAAATATTAAATTAGCTGAACAATTTTGGAAACAAGGAAAAATTCTTTCGGCTATTTGTCATGGACCTGCTGCTTTAGGTTAACTATTTTATTTTATTCAAACAAAACAAAAAAATCATTGAATTTAATTAATATTTATTTTTTAGTTAATGTAAAAGATGAAAATGGTAAATCAATATTTAGTGGACGAAAAGCAACATCATTTAGTAATGAAGAAGAAGAACAAGTTAAATTAACAGATGCTATTCCTTTTCTTGTTGAAACACGTATTAAACAACTTGGAGGAAATTATGAAAAAAATGATAAACCATGGGGACCTCATGTTACTATTGATGGACAACGTTTGTTTTACCTTTTTTTATTATTTTCAATATTTATTTTATTTATTTATTTTTTTAGTTATTCTTGGAGCAAATCCAGCATCTGCACATGATTTTGGCTTGGCTATACTTAATGCTGTTAACAAAAAATAAATTTCTTTTTTAAGACTTGAACTTTTATAGATTTTAGTTTCTATTTAAAAAGCAAGGCGTCGTTTTATAAGTTAGAAAAACAAAACATTTGAATTAGTTTTTTATTTTCTATTTTACTATAATCTTGCCAATATCAATGAAATGTCATTTTATTTATTCGAGATATCAGAAGAAAAAATAATTTATTTTATAATTAACTAAGATTATTCTTCTTTTTCATTATTAATAACTCTATCATTATGATTTTACTCATTTATATTATAATAGGATATTTTTATCAAATTAATTATTCATCTATGTAACATTTTAGACAGACGATTAATTAAGAATATTAAGAAGTTTTTATTTATTGAATAGAAATCGTTATACCATCGGATAATGTTAGTAGAGACACTTCTTTTTCAACTAGAATTATCAAGCAGAAGGATACTTGAAGTGTTTCAATCTATCGAAAATGCAACATTTTCGAAAGTCTCAACGCATTTACAGTGAGCAAACACGTCTTTTCTTGTCTCAATTCTAACAGCATTATAGCTGGTTTAATTTGAACGCGTCCAAAATGCAATATTTTTAGGAGTGTGAACGCCTTCAAAAACCAACACGCGTGTAAACTGATCTACGTTGAGAAGAAATTACGATTCGTTTTCAGATTTTCATACGTTTGGACGCAGTTATGAGATGAATGCGTTTTGACGCATCTCCTTTTCTCCAAAAAATGAAAAATAATGATCATTCTGTATTAGAATCGGACCGATGCACAGTAGTGAACTATAAAATAAGAGTAAAATCCTGTGAGGAAGAGAGTGGTCATTTTTCCAACGATAGGTTGAACCAAAACTTAAATCCATGATCAGTCGATTAGAAAGTGAAGGTAACTAACTCGGAACTATACACAACTGAAAATTGTTTCTATGTTGATGAATTGCATCAATATCTCATTTTAGATTTGTTAGAAATATGTTGATTTATCTTTACTTAAAATAATCAATATAAATAAAATGTTTATCATCATTGAAGAAAGATAATATTTTCTTTATATTTATAAAATAAGAAAAAAAAAAAGATCTTCCTATATTATGAATAAATTTGAAACTATGTTATATAAGAGCATAAATTAACTATTTATTCTTTCTAGTAGTATCTCAATCTATGCAAAAACATTTTGTCAATCAATCTAGTTTTTTTCTAATTATCATATGAAAATTATTTTATGATATCTAGAAAAAAAAAACTTTGTTTTTCATTTAAAATACTTACTGTTTTTATTTAACATTCTTCATTTTTTAACTAATTAAATTTTTTATTCTATTTATCTTAATTAAACATATATATAGAAGTTCGATTTTCATTTATTATTTTTTATAAATAACAATAAAGATAAACCAGCAATTCTATTTGAAAAAGTCTCTGTGAATTTAAGATAAATGGAATTAATTGAAAATAAAACTAACATATTTATTAAATTTATTCGTTTGTCTACATAAGAGATAATCACATTTATAACAAAAGATTTTTGATTCTAATCTATGACGTGCGCATCCCGAAATGTTTTTGAAGTGATGTCAAAGGAGACATAGTTTTGTCAAGAGTTTTATATTTTCAATAAGATATATGAAAATAACAGTAAATTATCATAGGATTAATCATTTTATATAATCAATCTATTAAACCAAATTCAACTTGGATTTATTTTAATCGTAGAGTTATACTCTCAATCTTAGAATCTACTTCGATTCGGACACATAATCATGATTATTTTTCGAGAATAAACTAAACATAGTTATCTGATAAAAGTACCAGAACGTAGAAAAGTGAGAAAACGTATATAAATCTGTTTTGACCATGAAAGAGTATTGACATGTTAGATTTTTTGAACACGTTTACATGCCTCAATATATAATAGTTTGAGCACATTCACACTGATCAAGTTCTAATAGTTATAGATGATGATAAATGTGTTAAGAGCCTGACTATGAATACCTGGACCGTAAAAAGAAGATCATCAAGTTATTCTAATCTGAATAAAAAAAACGATACCTTTTTATATAGAATCTATTAGTCAACTCATTATTATAAATTTAGATAAATTTGTGTCATTCTCAATTCCTACATAGAGAAGTAATAAAAAAAACAAGATAATCATCACCGATTGAAAAGTTAAAGAGATATTTGTCAATATTATCCTTGTTGATATATCTATCATAAAGAACTATTCATAGACTTATCTTTCGGCTTGTTATTCTTGTTCAACTGATATATATTTATTGAAATGAATTAGGAAAGTTATATTTTGCTTTCAGATTCTATCTTTTAAATTTAATATGATCACAAACAATATTTCCTTAATAAAATAATATTCGAATAAAAATACAGGACAGTATATTCATCGACATATATTCGTAGAGATCTACCTTCCTTTTTTAAACATTTATCTTGATTAGTTAAACTAGCTATATAACAACATATTCAATTGTGTTTCAAAAAGCAATGCATCCGAACTCATTTCAACAAATTTCATGTATTGACAGAAGCATCCTATAAAATGGATTTTTTCGACTCTGTCAATTAGATAGCATAGACTGTTAATAGAGATACCCTTTTTTAATCATTAAACGTTATCAGAGGCATAATATTACACAAATGTCTTCTAGAATACAAATCAAAATGAGTTTTCGAGACACACACTGATCGGTGCATCTACATGCTTCGATACAAAAATACATTAGAACGACGAAATTTGCAATAAAAACGCATCTATCTGCGTCTAAAATGCGTTTGATCGTTACATCGGGTTAGAGAATTCAATGTACTGATCTTGTATTTTTTATTAAAATTAAGAAAAAGAATCGAGGCAAATTTCGAAGTCGAATGATCATTTGTTGTTTTGCCTTTTTTTTAAAAACAGATGTCATTGATAGATAGCAAGGATAAATAATCAGTTTGGAATCCACAAAAGTTAATATATCAATTTTAATAATTTCTTTTTTTTTTTTTTTGTTTTGAATATGAAAATATTTTTTAGAAAATGATCAAAGATTATTATCAAATGTTGAATGGGAATCTTTAATAATCGATTAGTTAGAATGACTAATTCGATCTCTATTAAATAAAGATCGTATTATCATAAAAAAGAAAACGAATCGATGAAGTACATTGAAATGAAAAACTAATTGCAAATTATTATCAACAAGGATCAAATCGTGATCAACATTGAGACATTTTCTTTTTTAATCTAGAAAATAAATAAATCCATGGTTATTTATATAACTAATAGAAATAATAATAGAATTGTTCGATCAATACAAGGAGATAAATCAAAGTTAGTTATTATTCATCACTGTTTTATTAGTTCAAACCAACAATCACCACAAACTTTTCCTCCAATATTTTATCAATATTATCATAAAACATCTATACAGAGAACTGATTCGATTAAGACGGGGGGAGGGGAGAAGGTCCCTCAGAAAGCAACTTTGTTATTTTTCGTCCGATTTCAACCAAACTTTCTGAGAATATTAGTCTAGATAATGGGTGAAATATCTCCTCCAAACCTCCAATATAGAAACAATTTATAGTCAATTTATTAGTCAAAAGTAGCCTGTACGCGGACAAGGTTTTCGCAACCAGGAAACAAACTAACATATCAGGACGTTTTTAATGTTATAAAGTACCCTTAGGAATAGATCCTCACAGAGCACGATTTTTGAAATTCCTTTTGTTTGTTTTTTTTTTAAAAAGTCTTTTCTGAAAAATTCTCGAAAAAATCGCTGATAAAAATGGAATATGTAAGTTTATTATTTCACCAATAGAGAAATTCAAAAATCGATCTCTGTGAGGATCTATCCCTAACTGTTCTCTATACAATAAAAAGAAATTCTCACTTCTCTATTGAGTCCTTATTAAAAAAAAACGTTGTCTGCGTAAACAGTATGATCGAAAGAAACTAATTTTGATAAAAAGGCTAAAGAAGTTTTAGAAATCGATTTTTGCCAAACACACCTCAATTATATATCACTCTTCAGGACAGACTATATATATGTTATCTTTATCTTAATTGTTAATAGTCTTCTAGTGATTAATTTTAAAAAAACTTTACGAAATACTGATGCAAAGAGAAAGCACCCTAAAAAACCGTGAAAATTTCTCGAAATCTTATAGTAAGAGGCAAGTTTTAGGCGATAAGTCCATCAAAATCAAATGATTTTGCAATAATCCATTGATATTGTGAAAGAGGAGACTTCGATGTATCTTCCTATGATAATACGTCGACTTCGAGTTTTTTTCGAAATATTCGATTTTGTGAAGAGCTCCTCCTTAAATATTCGTTAGATTGATTTTTTTTTGTTTTTTTGCTAATGAAACTTAAAAAAGTTTTTCTGTTTAAATGTGATCCTTTGAGTAAATAGTTGTCTTATTAATTGATATTGTATAAATGATATTCTACTGATAAAATCAATTGAATAAACTATTGAAAAAAAAAAAAGAAATATTTTCGTTAATATTAAGAGAGCGTCGATGAGGGCATCGAATAGACGAGGCACTCGATAAAATTTTTTTTCGATTTTTTTTTGCTTATTCAAAACTTCAATATCTAAAACTACTAACCCTAAATTAAAGATTCTAATATCCTTCCTATGAAAAGTTAGTCAATACCGACTTTTAGCACTATGACACCTTTTTGGGAATAAAAAAGAAAAAATATCCAAGCTGAATAAAATAATCTATTTTTATATAATATAATCTTTAACAACTCTAGTTTTATAAAGGTGATATGAGTAAAAGATAGTCATTTTGATCAGTCAAAATAAAAGAGTGTATCTCCTCCTGTCTTTCAGAATCAAGAGTAGACAGACTGAATTTTATAAAGGTGCTTACACATTCGGATTTTTCATGGTTTTTGTGATTTTTCAATAGAAAATGAAGATTTTTATCGGTTTGCATTGGTATGACCTAAATGATAAATGAAAATAAAAACGATATTCGTAATCAGCATGAAAAATTGCATCTATCGATATATGTTTTACCGAAAAAATTTTTCTAGCTAAAATTGACCTGTACTCCTTCATAGGTTTGTTTAAAAGAAATTTCTCCCTCTAATCTCCCACAGGTCAATTTTGGGTGGGAAAAATTATTTGGTATGACATATATCGATAGATGGAATTTTACATGCTAATTATGAATATAATATTTATTTTTATTTATCATTTAGGTCAATCGATAAGATAATTTATCTTTGACATCGTTGTGATCTTTCATTATTGATTAGTAAAACTAATTAACTTGTGTTTATGATAACTATGAATTAAAATTATTCGATTGTTGTCCTAAGATTGATCGATGATAAAATAAATAAGTTCGAAAAAAGGAAAAAACAAAATCTGTTTTGACTTGTTTAACAAATAATAATTGAAGTAGGATATAGATTAAATAATATAATTGATTTGGTAAAGATAATAATCGAAAAAGAAATTTTATTGAAAAAACTTCGAAAGTAAATAATTGAAATATTTCTAAATGAAAAAAAAAAAGAAAAGAATTTTGTTTTTGACTAAATTTTTCTAAATAAATGAAATTTAATAATAAGTTTCTCTTTCAACCCAACCACCTGGATCTTTTCGAATAATATATTTTCGAACTTCATCATAAACTAAAATTAAGAAAAAATAAGGTATTGGAACAAGCCACCAGAGAAATCTAAATAAAATGATATTTTATTGAAAATAAATATAAAATCTTATTTTCTAAATATACTTAAGTGGATATGTATTAAGAGCTGTATCTAAGTATGGTGTATAAGATATAATTGCAGCTAAAACTGTTTCAAAAACTAAACCAAAATTTAACATCCAATTACTATAAAAAGAATAATTATTATCGAATTTTTATTTAAAAATGTAACTAACTTCATTCCTTGTTGAAATATTGAATTTCTTCGTGTTTTACAAACAATTAATACAGCCCATTGACAAATAACAATTGTAACAAAAAAAGCTGTATGACATGTATATTCAAGTTGTTTTCGTTGTTCATATGTCTATAGAATAAGATTATTTTATATAGAAAAAAAGATTGAAAATATTCCAACCCATTCTTGTCCATATGAATCTTCTAAATCATTTATTTCAATTGATTCCCATGATTTTCTAAGACCCAATAGACGTGATGGTAAAAATCCATTTTCTGCCATTATAACAAGATATGAAAAAAATCCAGCACCTGCTTGAATTAATCCAATTTGTCCATAAGCCATTGATATAAGACTATTTTAAATAAATAAAATAAAAATAAAATATTTAAACTAAAACTAACCGTTGATTAACAAGTCGATCATGTATTGGATCTCTTGGTCGTCTTTTCATAATATCAGTTTCACCTTTTTCATAAGCTAATGATATAGCTGGAATCATATCTGTACCCAAATCAATACATAATATTGTTATTGTTCCTAATGCTAATGGAGTATCAGTTGTTAAATAAATTAAAAATGGAGTTATTTCAGGAATATTTGATGTTAATGTATATGCAATTGATTTTTTTAAATTATCAAATATTAAACGACCTTCTTCAACACCTGTTACTATTGAAGCAAAATTATCATCTAATAATATCATATCAGCTGCTTGTTTACTCACATCAGAACCAGCAATACCTTTAATAAAGAATAGAATTATAATGAAAACAAAAAAAGAAATTTAATTAAATGAAACCCATAGCTATTCCAATATCTGCTTTTTTCAAAGCAGGTGAATCATTAACTCCATCTCCAGTGACTGCAACAATTGCACCTTGTCTTTGACATCCTAATTAATATTAAAAAAAAAAAATCTAATTTCTTTTCAAATTTGTATAAATGTGTTAACCTTCAACAATAATAAGTTTTTGTTGTGGTGATGTTCTTGAAAAAACAATTTCTGAATGATTTTTTAAAAGATAATCTAATTCTGTTGATGTCATATATTTTAAATCATCTCCATGAACAACAGAAGCATTAGCATCACGTTGATTAACATTTTCAATAGGAATATTTAATCTAATTGATATATCTTCAACTGTTTCAGAATCTTCAGATATTATTCCAACAGCTCGAGCTATTGCTTTAGCTGTTGTTGGATGATCACCTGTTATCATAATTACTTTTATTCCAGCTGAACGACATTTAGCAACACTAAAAAAAAACGAAATTTATTCGATTTTTTAATATTAAATATTAAATAAAACAAACGCTTCTGGTACAGCTGCTCGCGGTGGATCAATCATTGACATAAGACCAAGAAAACGAAGATTTTCAAGTGGAAAATTCATTTTTTCTGCATCAAATTGATAATCTTTTGGATATTTTTGAGTTGGTAACCGTAAATCACAAAAACCTAAAACCCGTTCACCTAAACTTCCTAATTCTATATTTACATTTTGAAATTCATTTCGCCAAACTATTTAAATAAATAAATTTAAAAAAAAGCAAAAGAATAAAATAAAATCTTACAATCATTTATTGGTATATCTTTTCCATCAATAAAAATAGTTGAACATTTTTCAAGAATTGTTTCTGGTGCACCTTTCATAACTAATAAATAATAAAGACGAATATTATTTGGATCATTTCTACTACGCATTTCATGTATTGATAATTGATATTTATTTGTTGGATTAAATGGAATTTCACATACTTTACGATTTGATTCACGATATTTTATTACATTACCTATCTAGACAATTTGGATTTTTTAATAGAATTATTACGAAATTTTTTTTTTTTTTTTTTTTTTTTTTTTATTTACTGATAATTCAACACATTTAAGTAAAGCTGATTCAGATGAATCTCCAGTACATTCACGTTGTAATACTGGTCTTGATAAATTTTCTGGATCTTGTTTAAAATCAGCTCGATTACATAACATTGCACAACGAGATAATGCTAACCAACCAGTTGAATTTCTATCATATGTTGCATCTTAATATAAAAAATAAAAAATAAAAAATAAAAAATAAAAAAAAAATGTAAAAAAAAAAACGTTACTTTCTTGATATTCACTAGTATCAGCTTCAACAATTCTTCTATCAAACCACATATGTGCAACAGTCATTCGATTTTGTGTTAATGTACCTGTTTTATCCGAACAAATAGTTGATGTTGATCCAAGTGTTTCTACAGCTTCCAAATTTTTAATTAAACAATTTTTTTTTGCCATACGTTTAGCTGTTAATGCCAGACATGCCTTTAATAATAACAACAAAAAAAAAAAACAAAATCGTTTTTTTTTAAGAATAAATATGTTACAGTAACAGTAGCTAAAAGTCCTTCAGGTACATTAGCAACAATAATTCCAATTAAAAAGATAACAGCATCAATTAATGCATATCCAAGAATAATTCCAATAATAAAAAAAGATATTCCAAGAAAAACAGCAACACCAGTTATTATATGAATAAAATGAGTAATTTCTTTAGATATTGGAGTTTCAATTGTTGATAAACCTGATGCCAAATTAGCTATTCTACCCATAGCTGAACGATCACCTGTACGAATAACAATACCTTTAGCTGTACCTATTCACAAATCAACTTTTTTTTTCAAATAAAAAAAAATTTACAAAAAAAAACAAACCTTCAACAGCAAATGTACTTAAAAAAGCTAAATTTTTTGTTTCTAATGGATTTTCATGTGTCATTTCTTTTGTACGAGTTTGAGGTTCTGATTCTCCAGTTAATGAAGAATTATCAACTTTAAAACCATGAGCTTCTAATATTCTTATATCCGCTATTTAATAAAAAAAAAAAAACTAAAAAAAAAAAACTGAATGAAAATTGTAAAAACAAACCAGGTACTCTATCACCAAATTTAATATCAACAATATCACCAACAACTAAATCTTCTGATCTAACACTTTTACTTTCTCCATTTCGAATAACAATTGCTTGCTAATATTAATTATATAAATAGAATATTTTTTGAAATTAAAATACTTACTTGTGGAACACTGGAACAAATAAACAAATCTTTAGTTTTTGGTTTTTTTTTTTAAATTTTAATTTCTCTTACAGATTTTTAAATGAATCCATTATTCTTGAACTTTTAGCTTCTTGATAATAAGAAAAACATCCTGTTATTACAACAACAACAGTTAAAGCAACACCAAGCCATAACTAAACGAACGTTTTTTTCTTTTTTTAATATAAAACTAATGAATAATTAAATAAAACAAACATTATCATTAGGTGCTTCACCATGATGTGTAGCCACTGTAATACCATGTGCAGTAAAACAAAGAATAGCACCTATCCAAAGAAGAAAAGCAAAACCACCAAACATTTGTTTACAAAATTTCATCCATTCAGGTGTTGTTTTTGGTGGAGTTAATGCATTTGGACCATCACGATTAAGAATTTCTCTTACTTTATTATCCGTTAAACCCTAGAAAATTCATTTATAGAATTATTTCATATAAATAATTGATTTTTTTAAAAATTTCTCTTACTATTTTAGGATCAGTTTCATATCTTTGAAAAAGTTCTTCGAAATCTAATCGATGATCATCCTAAATATAACTTAATATAGAATTTTTAAAAAAACCAAATATATTAATTATATTTCTAAAATAATAATATATATTATATATTATTACTAGAATAGATAGATTTAAATACTTTTATCAATTTAACTTTCAATTTATTTATTTATATAATCAAATTGAAACATATTTTAGAAAATCTTATCAATATTCATCTAAACTCTTCAAAAAATAATCATACTTTTATAATTGAATAGGTTTTTTTTAATTGATACTCTAGATTATTCAAAGGAAAATATATGTACCAAATATGTTAATTCAATTTGTTTTTATCAAGATAAGAGGGAGATCATCAAAAAGATAAATTATTAAATAAGATTGATTAAGACTGTAAAGAGAAGCGAAACCAAGTTAAGAAAAATGATTATTGGATAAATCTCTAGTTGATTGAAAATCTCTCATTGTAGAGATTCTATTGTTAATTATTTGTTGATCATTCCACTGATAGTTTTCTATGTTGTCTATTCTACTACATATCACCGACACACTTATTACACGAAATTTAGTATTTTAAAAAAAAGAATCTTTTTTGTTTTTTGATTGATTAGTTCTTCTTTATTCGACAGTCAAGAATATGTCGGGAGATGAATCATCTAGATAGAATTAGCAAATAGTGCTTCTATTGTGATGAAATCAATTCGAAATGATTCGATATTAGAATTTAATATTGAAAAAATTTAAGAAAATTAAGTTTTATGATATGTTTAGAGATAATATATGATTCGATTTATTATAGAAGATATTCGAAAAGTTCACTGAATAAAACAACGTCAATAACTTTTCAATAATTCAAACAATATCCGTGAGTTTTATTTTATTTTATTTAATATTTTAAAAATTTTTGTAATAGATTGTTATTGTTATATCCAAATGATTTTTATTCGACATCATCTTTCATAG